TATTTATAACAACAAAGATAAAAATAAAAATAGCTATATTGTGATTATTAATGCAGTAATGATTATTAAGAAAAGACCTGGAGGAAAAGATGCAATGTTGCTAGGTTTTGCTTTGGAACCTTCAGAAAACTTTAACTTGATTTTTCTCGAAATGGATTTTGCTAACTTCATCGACTTCAAACAGGTGTTGCTGTTTTTCATTTTTTTTGTCCGATTCCAACAACTCATATATCATTATGAAGGTCTTTTAATGGAGAATGTAACAATAAAAATAACTAATTTTTGAAAATTGACTCTGAGACTTGCTGTACCTTGTGCTTGTCAATCAGATTGCTGACCAGGTCTTTTTCACCACAGACAGACACATCTTCAGCCAGCTGTGGCTCGGCTCTGTACAGCCAGTCATTAAGAGCCTGCAGAGCATCAGTGAATCTGCCTGAAAACAGCAGAGCCTCTTCCAGCTTGTGTTGCCTTGGGACAGAAAAGCGGAGTTTAGAGCTCAGAAACAGACTCACAGTGCACTACAGAGCTCCCGTCGGCTCACCTCTCGCTGGATTTGCCGCTGATGGTGTCCCATGAGTCTCTGAGCTCAGACACCATGTTCTCCAGGTGCTGCGTGTCTTCAGGACTCTGGGCTTTCTCCTGCAGCGAGCGGCCACTCTTCAGACAGGCCTCGTACATCGGCCGCTTCGAGCGGAGCAGCTTCTGGAACTCCTGAAAACATACAAATTCACCTTATAAATGAACCGACTGAACTGACTGCTTCGGTGGTGAAATTTCCAGTGTGGTTTATACTGTTTTTTATATACTCCACTGTCAAGTTTTACTTTACTGAGGGTTTTTACAGCAACTTTTAACGGGCGCCATCATCAGAAATAACTCCTTAAGAATTTATCCATCCTTTATTTTTTATGGAAACCTTTTTCCGCTCACAATTCAGACTTTTTTCCTCCTAATTCTGAGCTTCTCATAATTTGGATTTTGTTTCTCATAGTTCAGAGTTGAATATTTAACAATTCAGACTTTTTTTCTCTGAATTCTGAGTTTATATCTCACAATTCAGTTTTGTTTTGTTTTTTTTGCCAAAGAATAAGAAATAAAAAGGTTATTGCAACTTTTTATCTCACAGCTTTGATATCTTTTCTCACATTTGCAAGTTTACGTCTCGCAATTCTGAATTTATATCTTACAATTCTGACAATTTGACAGAGTTTATATCTTGCAATATATACTGCTATATCAGGGTCGAGATGCACCGATACTAAATTTCTCAGCCAATACGTTACCGAGTTTAGTTTTCTTAAAGGGGAAAAAAGTTCTCCCAACTAATGCTGTAAAGTGTAAACTATACACAGTGTACTATACATAGAACCCTCTCATTTGGTACATAATATTAGAGGTTAAAATTAATAACAAAACTATTACATTCAATGCCATTTATTTTCAGATACAATACTCACACTTAAATAAAAATGTTTGTATACAACTCAATTGCACGTAAGTTAGTTTTCATAAAAACTTGACTTCATGACAGATTTATTGAAATATAAATATGTAACTAATAGTAAATAAGCTCCCTCTAGTGTTTTTATAGCTAACTAACAAACTTGGGTAACTTTCCTGAGGGAAATGCAATGCTAATCCCAGCAGGCACACAATGTCGTAAAATGGTGATATTTGGTTGAATTTCGGTTGCGACGTCGGGTGATTCAATGTCAGTTCAACGTCTAATGTCAATGTTAATTTGATGTCCAATACCGACATCAGCTGATGTTGATATTTGTTATTTTTAGGTTGTGTAACCAAAATCCAATATTAAGTCAACGTCAAATTGACGTCAAATACTGATGTAAACCCCATTTTCATTTTCAACCAAAATGCAACGTCAACCTGACGTTATATTGACGTCCTGTGCCTGCTGAGAAGTGACACTGTTATTTGACGTCTTTCTTTCGGTTAAAATGCTGATTGAGCAACTATATGAGACATCATACAGTTTGGTAGTTGTACTATAAATTTGAACATACCTTCTGATGTTCTTTCATGTTTATTTCTCGCTTTGACTTGTATTAAAGTGGAAGAGACTCTACCGCTACCGCTTGAACTGAAGCTGCTACAGTGATCTGTCACGCCACATTTAAGAGCATCAAAACGGCATTTATTGTTAGAATTTTGTGAAAAATGGACAGAATTTGAGAGCTTAGACTTTGTTTCATATCAGAAGTAACAAACCAAAGCCCTTTGCGATTACTGGATGGTTGGCGCGGTACAAATAATGTTTGGAGGAGGTCAAAACCGTGGATTTGGCAACCTTGGCTCGAACTTGGTGATTCACAAGGTCAGTCAGAACCCGCATTAACAGTTCTGCGTTAATGCGTTATTATTGCTTTAACTTGGACAGCCCTATATTTGACACACGGAACATTTTCTTCACGCAAGTTGCTGTTTGAAACGTTTTTCGGTTTCACTTTATTCCGATAGTCCACTTTAGACATTCTACTAACAGTAAGTAACTTTGCAACTACATGTCAACTAACTCTCATTAATTCGCAACTACATGTCTACTAACTCTCAGAGTAGACGGTTAGGTTTAGGGTTAGTAGAATAAGTTGACATATACTTGCAAAGTTTCTCATAGTCAGTATGTTGTATGTTGTGGACACATCAAAATAAAGTGTTAGCAGATATTAAGCAGACAGTCTACTAATACTCTAATGACTGCTAGTTGACATGTAGTTGCAAAGTTACTTACTGTTAGTAGAATATCTAAAGTGGACTATCAAAATAAAGTGTTACCCATTTTTCTACCACCTTTTGATCGACAGGGTATAATCGGCCCTGATCATTGACTGTTTTTAAGCAATCGGTTGATGGCTGATAGTACAAGTAATTGCTTTATTGGTCGACACCGATTATTGGCCGATACATTGGTGCATCCCTAATTCAATGTCAATTCTACACCATTTTTTTTCAGTGTACTATGACTTTTTTTTTTTTTTTTACAAATACATAAACAAAGTTTTAAGTTTGCCGGAAATTATTTGCAGTGTAAGTGCAGCACTGGCCTAAAGGCCAAACTGTCACCTGACCCGACACTCTCTCACACTGGCCTCAGACCAGCAGACCATCGTTGCTGAGTCCTGAGATGTGAAGTACCTTTTGTTCAGTGAGCTGCTGTTTGATCTCTTCCTGTGACACTGCGATCTCTTTGTGTGTGTCCAGCGTCTGTTCAACCTCCGTCATCCAGTCCACCAGCAAGTGCCATGATTCACTGAACTGTGGAGGTGAAAAGCACAGAAGTTTAGTATTTGCCAAATGATTTCCTGAGAACAGAGGTCTTTCTGTCGGTGTTGTAGTTCATATGAGAGGTCAAAACCTGTTTAGCATGTCTTTTGGCACATTTTACTGTAAAATGTTAATGTCAACACAGCCACACTTTTGGAGTGCATCACTCCAAAATGCAAGTTAATAGTGTGAATTGGTCCCTAAACTAAAGTGTTACCTATTTTTTTTATATGTATATATATAAACAATATGTATAAAATCCTTTTAAATTTAAGAAAATTAAACTCTCAAAACTTTATGTGATACTATGTTGTAAGCCTGTAGATGGCTATAATTATGCAGAATATGCTGTCATCACCTTTCTTTCTTGCATTTTAGCGTAGACAGTGCTCCACTTCTGCTCCAGTATGCATAAGCTATGCTCTGTGCCGGAGCCCCGGGCCACTTCACGTCCCTCCAGCATCCTGTGGATGGCGTTGCGCACATTTGTGTAAGCGTGCATTTTAGAATCCATCTCATTACACAACTCCTGCAATGCAAGATACAGAAATGAGACTTCAGTGTTTTATAAACACAGTTTGCAGGGTTAAGACTCCAAGTTCAGCATGCAGAATTCAAGTGCTCATTACCAAATGAACGTTCAGTCTCTCGTTGGCAGAGTCTGGCATTCCCCACACGGTCTTACTGGACGAGAGCCTCAGGTCTGTGTGCTCCAGCCACTGCAGGAGATCCTGGATCTCCATGACTACCGTGTGCACATGGGACATCACATCATTCCGCAGAACCTAAAGGCACACAACAACAAGCACTTTTGTTTAAAAGTAGTACCCAGTATGCAGTACAGACTGTGTAAATGCTGTGTAGGATGCAGTAAGCAGTGGCTGGAGTGAACGTGATTTCACCAAGTACAACATTCTAATCAACCAATTGGAATTGAGGGATACAGCCCATTTAAAGAAAATTACAGTTTTAGGCTTACAACCAGGGTTACATGCTTCTGAACCTTTGTTATTCAGCTATCATTTCCCTCTGATTTTAGGGATAAGTTATGGGTAGGTTTAGGAGTACACTCTTAAAAATAAAGGTGCTTAAAAGGTTCTTCACAGTGATGCCATAGCAGAACCCTTTTTGGTTCCACAAAGAAGCATTCAGTCAAAGGTTCTTTAAAGAACCATCTCTTTCTTACCTTTTTATAATCTGAAGAACCTTCTTTCTCCACAAAGAAGCTTTTGTGAAAGAGAAAGGTTCTTCAGATGTTAAAGGTTCTTTATGGAACCATTTAGTCAAAAAAGGTTCTTCTATGGCATCGTGAAGCACCTTTATTTTTAAGAGTGTAGGGATGGGGTTAGGTCTATGTTTTTGAAGAGGTTGATCCAGGAACATGTCTTACGTGGCTGTTTCACATACTATTTTTAAAAGCAGTAGCCAGTATCCCAGCTAGCAAAAATAGAACCTTAAAATAGAACCTTGCTAGAATGTTAGGTACTAACATTCCTTGTTAGTTGGGAGACAGTAGATCTATGCAGCATTCAGTAAGCAGTACACTAGCGTTTCATTCGAAATGAGCAAAAATCACTGGAAAAGTGAGGACACAACATTGGCAAGAATGTGCCAATGAGTGCCTTAGAGTTTGTGTTTGTACCTTGTGCTTGGCTAGCTCTATCTCACAGGTTTGCAGGTCAATGCTGATTGGCTGAGAGGCTTGCAGTAGGTCTGCCGTGTGGGAGAGCCAGGCGTGCAACTCATCAAGAGTGTTCTGAAACTGACCCAAGCCCAGCAGTGCACACTCCAACTGGTGCTGCTCGAAAACATAGTGCTCTCGTTGAAGTACCATTATGACGAAACAATTTTTTTTTTCTTCATTTAGCTGAGATTTTACCTGTCTGCTGACAGTCTCTGACTCCAAGTTGTCCCATCGCTGACGGAAGTCACACAGTGGAGAGATGGACCCAGGTCGCTCAGTGCCCGGGGAAAGGCGACACACAAAGCGATGGTTTAGACTCTCAATCTCGATCTTCTTCTGATAGAGCTCTCGCTTAAATTCCTGAAAGGAGAGGTGATGGAATCACCACTAATTTGTTTGTGACACAGTTTTCAGTTTCTTAAGGTAAGTTTGTGTGGTCTAACCTTCAGGTCACATAGCTGCTCTTTAACTGATCCCAGGTCAGATCCCACTGAGAACTCCTCGGTGGATTTCAGCTCTGCAGACTTCAGCCACTCAAAGAGTCCCTTCAACAGAAGGTCATATTTTTAAGCTTGCTTTTGTAGTGTTCTCTTGACCCACTCTACAGTATATAAATATTCATAAGTGCACATTGTCAATTTCTTCCATTGTCGCATGAAGTCAGTGCAACCAAGAAGAGAATTCGCTGAAATATGCTGACTTTAATTCAAATTCTCTATGGCTAGCTTTGGTGTCTCTAGAAGGGCATCCAAAAGTCCTGCCAATTGGCAGGAAATTGGCCTGTCTGTTAGAGACTCATCACTACAACCACATGGAGGCATGAATTTTGAAATACTACAACTGTAGACAGAGACCTACCACCACTGGACGAGACAAGATAGAAAAAGTAACGAACAGACCATTCTTTGTGATTGTGTTTGGAAGTTTTCTACAGTAAGTACAAACTTCATTAGGTAGGGTGACCATACATACTTTTTCTAAATTGCCTAAAATGTCTGGGTTTTGGCTTTGTTTTCCTGTTGTTTTCATACTTGCTGAAGGTAATTACTGAAAATTAGCTTGACCAATAGCATGTAGGCATTGTACACTATCGACCAATCATGGCGTGGGAGAAGGTGGGATCAACAGAGAACAGTCAAAGCAATGCAAATATGCATGCATAAAATTTATGAGGACAGTAGAGAGAACATCAAATAAAGGAAAATAAAGCCAAAACCTGGACATTTTAGAAATCCTGGCCAGGACATGTCCAATCTGGAAAAATGAGGATGTATAGTCAACCTACATTTGTTGTTTTCATACTTGCTGAAGGTAATGACTGAAAATTAGCTTGACCAATAGCATGTAGGCATTGTACACAATCGACCAATCATGGCGTGGGAGAAGGTGGGATCAACAGAGAACAGTCAAAGCAATGCAAATATGCATGCATAAAATTTATGAGGACAGTAGAGAGAACATCAAATAAAGGAAAATAAAGCCAAAACCTGGACATTTTAGAAATCCTGGCCAGGACATGTCCAATCTGGAAAAATGAGGATGTATAGTCAACCTACATTAGGAATGCCTTGAAAGGAATTGAAACTAACTCACCTGCATACTGTCCTGATAATGGAGAGCCATTCGTAAACATTCTTCTAACTTACTGTTGCACTCTGTCCAGATCTTACTGAGATTGTTCCACGTGCCATAAAGCTGCAGAAAAAGACAGCTGGATAGTGAGATGTGAACAAATGACTGCATGATGTACAACAGTTTCTGCGAGGATTATTCTCATTTCAGTTTCAAATACAAACCTCATCCAAACTTTTGGTGACCTCTGGCTTGTCTGTGTCACCACAAGCTGACATGAGTTCCATTCCCAGAATTCCTAGTGTGTCCAGGTCACCTTGCAGAGAATCAATGTCCTCCCTGAGTGTCTGAGAAGGAAGGATAAGAGAGTTTTAATGGTATGAGGCATTGCGTTGATTCAAAACTTTCAGGACGCAATGAGGAAATATTCTTAAATGACCCTGCTGAAAGAACAAAACCAGGTAATGAGTATATGTTCTGTTTTGGACGCTGGTCCAAAACATGGGATGTACTTCTAAAAGCTGCTAAGTAAAACTAGCAATATTACATTGGTCAACCAGCTTCGCCAGCATTTCTGGTTCACCAGCTAGACCAGCACTAAACCAGAAAAAGCCAGCCTGGACCAGCATAGAGCAGATAAACATTGACCACAGTATCAATTTTGTAGCCTACCTGCATGGTCTCCAGGCTCTGTCGGATGGTTTCTGAATCTGATCGACTGGAGTTGAGGTCCAGAACAGCTTGCTGGGCATCATTCAGTCCAGATGTCATGTCACTCACATCATTCCAGAACCTGACTGCCAGATCCAGGAGATTGAGAAGCCACTTCTCCCTCTCCTGAGCTTGTCTTTGAGCCTCCTCCCAGCGGCTTGTTAGACTGCAAACCCGGTCTTGAATAGCTGAAATTGCCAAGATCATCATAGACAGACCATGCTTATGAAACAATAGTGTTTATGAGATGTTTTAGCATATAAAGCTGTATGTGCCAGAATATGTATGCGATTCATGTTTTGAGGTACCTGTGCCAATGGAACTGTCCCCAAGAGCCCCTGTGTTGGTCAGGAGCTCTTGAGCCTGTGTCCTCACACTGCTGAGGTCCAGATCCATTTTTGAGAGCTCAGACAATGTGTGCTTGTTGTCCTGTAGCTGCTCTTGAATTCGTGGGGAGAGGCCTTGAAGAGCCATTGAGGCCTGCAGGTGACTACACAGACGCTCCACTCTCTCTCCGATCAGAGTCATCCTCTCATTCAGCTGACATGGACATACAGAGTTTCAGGAGTGAGCTAGCATTTATGCAGCTAAAATGTGGCAATGTTGTCTTTCTATACTACTTTAGCAACATAAAACATATGGCTTTTTTGAAAACAGGTTATATCAGTGTAGTGCATCAGTGGGTTGCATTCCTGTAGTTCAGCTGAGCACGGCGTTAGCAACACCAAGTTCATGGGTTCAAATCCCCGGAACGGTATAAACTGATATACTGTAAGTTATGAAAAAGCTTTAAATAACAGGTGAATCTTTTAAACCTTCTCAAAGTGTCCAGTACACTAGTCTCAGCATCTACAATGGAGTTTTGGGGCATTCATCAAAAGTAGGTCCTCTCTGTGAAGGTCTGACTTATTCAAGTTTAAGAACCTCTGATTTATAACTACAAACCATGTTAAACCAACTACCATAAGAAGCCGATTTAGCTGGATTCTCCAGTATGTGTTATGGAGAAAAGTCTTCTCTGTCTTGCAAAATAATGCTGAAGAAGTTAGAGTTCAAGAAGTCAAAATTGGACTTTACTGCAAGAAGACAATAAATCTGAGACCTCTGCAGAACATCTGACTCACTCACAGCTCAACCTTTATTACAGTTTTCAACCAATGATCTTATTGCAGGTGTTCTCCTCCCAATACTCCCTAACTCTTCACCTCATTAATTGGTCTTTTGTTCTCTTGTAAGGGTGGCAGACTGCCAACTAGCCTATGTCAAAACATATCACAAAGTGACTATTTGGTGTATTTGCCTCATCATTTTTATCCAAAGAACATGTTGAAGGCCATGTGGCCCAAAAGAGCAACTTAGTATCACCGCGGATGCCATCCACAAGCAACGTCAGCCAAAATCCCATTCTTTCCCGTGTGACTTCTCTCACAGTCATGTAGGCTATGAGGCCTTCAAAACACATCGGCTTTTACAGCATTCAAACTACTTCTACAATTGTTTTCTATAGGATAAATAAAATATTTCATCATATGCACCCGGAATCAGCATCGAATCTACATGTGTGTCACCTGTGTATAGCGGGGCAGAGACTCCTCCAGTACTCCAGCAGCTTCTCGAACCCTGTCTCTGATGGCCAGATGCTGCTCTTCAGTGTCCCTGGCTTTCTGGCAGAACTCCTCTCCCTGAACTGCATTCAGGTCTGATAGACGCTGGGCCAGCATGATCAGCCGTGCTATCAGTGGCTTGTGCTCTGCTATGGACTCCCTGATGCCCTGTTTGGACGTTATGCAGCAACACGATCAAACATTGATGTTTGTATTACTTTATCTGAAACAACTAATGAAGTCTAATAATTGCAGTACAAAGTTAATATTTTGAATACAGTGTGATGGCTATTAAAATCTAATGTGTTTGAACTTGAACTTATACTATAGCAAATGTGGGCCCAAACATGAGCATCTGTTGTTAATATCTTGCTCTGAAGAAGCAAGTTTTTAAGTACCTGTAAGAGGTCCTGTTGTTCTCGGAAAGCCTCGTAGCTGATGGTGTTTAGGGTAAACTGGCCAATAAGGGCTTTGGTTTCCTGTAACCATGGTAACACCTCAGCATAGCCCTCTGAGAACTGAGACAAGAGCGACTGAGCATGCTCCAGTTGAAGCAAGACTTGGGAATTAGTGGCAGTAGTGACCTGGCACTGCTCCTGTAAGGTGTCCAGGGAAGACTTTGGAGGGGAAAAGACAGTAGTATTATGTTGGTTCTTATGTCATGGAAAATGTTTCAAAAGGTATTAAGAATGAATATTAGCTTACCTGGAGTCTCAGTGTCTCCCCATCCTCAGTGTACATCTGCAGGAGTTCCAAAATCTTCACCATTTTCTCAATGTTAAACTTGTGCTGCAGAATCTCCACAGCAAGTATCTGCAGAAAAACATAGACATCATATGGATTATTTTAAAGAATTTTACAGAATTTCTAGTGTATGCACAGAGAACATCATTGTGAATGTGCAAAAACTCACTTTCTGCTCATTGAGCTCGGATGCAATGATGTCTGGGTCCAGATTAATGGCTCTGAGCTCCTCCAGTGCCAGTGAGGTGTCTCTAAACCAAGCCAACTCTTTCTCAACAGCCTGTTCCAGCTGATCAAATGCAAACAGGCTGATAGGTAAGCAGGCATTTAGCAGCTGTATTTATCCAAAATGACTTACAGTACACTTCAAGCAACCTGAGGTATCCACCTGTCTCTTACCTTCTGTCTCTCAGAAGAACACAAGACTGCATCTCCAGTCTCAGTCTGGGCAGCAGGAGCCAGCAGCTCTCTCTCGATTCGACCAAGCCACAGGTGGAGGTCTTCCTGACTGGAGGTACATCGACTAGATGCCTCCAAAGCCTGTTCCAGCCTCTGCAGGACATCAGCACTACCCAGACTCATCACTGAGTACCGGATACGCAGACTGTCTACCCGCTCCTGCACCAGCTGGGTTTCCTCCTCTTTAGATTAGCATGTGAAAGATTGAAACATGTTTGAAACATGTCCTTGTGGGCACTGTGCAAGGTTTAGTGTATGCAATGACACAAAATGGGAGGAAACACCACCTGAAATCTTCTCCATGAGCTCATGAGCACATTGTTGGAGTTTCCCCAGGTCGACACTCTTAGCTTTTATCTCTTCCATGACTGCCTAAAAGGTGATAGAGAAAGGCAATTTCGTTCCACACTGAAATCTTGTAGCATACAAATTTATTAACGGATAAACAAAACATTTTGTAATGTTTTGCTGACCTTGGCCTGTCCTGTGGCTTCTTGCAGATGGAGCATCGCTCTCTCTGCAGAGCGGAGCTCAGCTAAGTCCTGATCCACAGATATAAGCCATTGCTGAAGTCTGTCTGTCCTCTCCTGAAATAGCTGAGCTCTTGGCAGAATGTCCTCCAGAGTCCTGTGTCTGTGAAAACAAATTCATTGTAAAACAAAACACATTACATTACTAACATCAGATTTACCCACCCAAAGCATCAGGTAAAAAAGTTGTGGTTGGCTCTTTTATGTCGGTCAAACAGCCCCAACTACGTGGGTCTTCCTGGGACCAAAATGTGTACCAATGTGTCAACCAGACTGACCTGCTGTTGGCGCCCTGAAGTAGAGCCTCCCACTTGAGCTCGAGCTGTGCAAGCTGCACTTTGGTCTTTTCACTGTCATTTCCCTGAAGCCCCTCTGCCAGGTGTGGACCCTCCTGCATCATGGTCTCCATACTTGGTCTCCTGTCCTCTAGGAGGCGCTGTAAGAGCTGCAGGGCAAGAAACGTATTATGTTTATTATGCTAAAGGAATTTATTATGCTTCCTCCAAGGGCAGGGGCTTGCAAGCAAGTGGTTCTCAATCCTGGGATGCTTCTCAATATTCAAACTGATGCCAGAGATTGTCTTAATATAGGGAGATGAGAGGGTCTGTATTACTTACTATTGGAGAAAGCGTAATGGCTAACTTGGATCACGTGTGCCGTAATAACCAATCACATTATAGCCTTGACATCACTGAATTTCAGTCAGAGTTGAATACTGTCATGATGACCAATCAAATTGTGTGTTCATTTAAAGACAATGTGTGGACTTTATATACGGTCCCTTACCCACCATTTGTCTCATTTCCATTTCGCAAAACACATTTACATGAATGCATTTGGCGATGTGTTGGAAAGTGATTTATAGTGCATATACATTTTATGAGCATGTGCGTTCCCCCCTGGGATCGAACCCATAATCGCATCATAAAGCAATGATCTACCATTTGAGCTACACAAAACACAAATTATGATGCAAATAAAAGGGTACAATGCATTAATAGGAAAGTGTGCTGTTGTCGATAGAAGCGCAAATTTAGTAGACGCTCTGATGGGTCGTATTTGTGCGTGCTGGCAAAGCAAGACCTCGTGCAGCAGTACTGGCGAGGTTTAGAAACTGAATAAGGTTTGTCCAAGAAGTCGCTAGATTTGTCGCTAGGCGCTTTTTTGGAAAAAAGTTGCTAAAGGGGACCGAAAAGTCGCTAAATCCAGCGACAAAGTCACTAAGTAGGCAACACTGGTGCAAGCAACTTATTACGACCTATATTTACGTTTTAAAGTTAAGCACCCTCTAGCTGACGCAAAAATAATGACAGTGTTGTGTTGCGTCTGCTGTCATGACTAATACTGACTAATACTGTCATGATGACCAATCAAATTGTGTGTTCATTTAAAGGCAATGTGTGGACTTTATATACGGTCCCTTACCCACCATTTGTCTCATTTCCATTTCGCAAAACACATTTACATGAATGCATTTGGCGATGTGTTGGAAAGTGATTTATAGTGCATATACATTTTATGAGCATGTGCGTTCCCCCCTGGGATCGAACCCATAATCGCATCATAAAGCAATGCTCTACCATTTGAGCTACACAAAACACAAATTATGATGCAAATAAAAGGGTACAATGCATTAATAGGAAAGTGTGCTGTTGTCGATAGAAGCGCAAATTTAGTAGACGCTCTGATGGGTCGTATTTCAGGGAAGCGACAAATGACCCATACAGTTGGAGGACATGTTGGGAACTGCCTTCCTAATACAGTTTTGTAGAACACCCCCTTTTGCGTCTTCAAAGATGCTTTGTATGAGGAAGCAAACACACATTTGGTTCATAGAGGTATTGCTCCTTCTGAGAATCTACAAGCTTTATAATGCACCTTGTTCTCTCTTTGTGGTACTTAAGCCAAACACTTGTATCATGTGTCAGAGGATCATTGTGGCCATTCAGGTATGTTTTACCTTACTCACTAAGCTAACAAAGATCTCAAAAGGTCTCAAAAAGGTGAATTACTTTTCCCCCACCCATTCCCATATCATACACAAAGGCATTCAAAGCTTATTATATGCATGGACTTACACAGTATGCTTCTCAGTTCAAGAAAAGTTTAAGGATGGGATTAGAAATTACATGACAAGGCTTTAAAATTGGGTAGACTTTTTTATCAATAGTTTATGTAAATATTAATGTATTAGTTTATTGTTTGTTAGTTTATATAGCAACAACTTAACAATTTTTTAAGGTTTTTAACATACCTTCTGTTCTTGCAGCTGCGCTTTCACCACTTTAAACTCTGAGGATGGTGGTTTTTGATTGGCTGTCAGCTCCTCAATCTCGCAGACCCACGTCAGCAGCGTTTCCAGATTTTGCTGGAATTTCAGCGGATCCCTGAACTCATCTTTCAGAGCCAAAACACTTCTGCCATCCTTAACATAAGACCAGACAATATGCTATCACGTTTTCATAAAGAAAGTACAGGTTAAGGAAAGATCAGTATACTGTACCTTCCATTGATCTAGACTTGATTCCTGGTCTGAACTTGATTGACCATCACTCTGCAGCTGTGAATTTGTAAGAATTGTGAAACAATTTTATTTAATTGGAAAATGAACAAATTGGTGAAACATTGTTGATACACTGACTTCAAAATCAGTTAAATAAAAAATGGTAAATGATGGTAAAAAAAAATAAAATAAAGAAAAACATTACATTTAAAATAAATTTAAATTAAATTGAATAACCTCTGCAAGTTCCTCAGCAGCTCCAGTAAGGACTCTAACAGTTCTAGTAACAATAGGGTCACCTCCTTTCCCCGCACTAGGATACTCTGTCACCTCTACAATCTCGGTAACAATTGTCTCTGTCACCTCTGTGACTTCAGTAACCTCTCGAGTGTTCAGAGGCTTCCAGGACCAGGGACTTCCAGAATCCTTTCTCTGCAGGCTGGCTCTCCTGTCCACGGATCCATACTGACTCAGGGGGGATCTTCTGTACTCTGGAATATTACACATTCTGGGCAAAGACCCATTTCGTGGTGTTTTTACCGGGGACGGAGTGCTTCGCCAGGCATTGTCCAGAGTGCTGGTTGTAGTGACAGTAGGGGCTGGGGAACTCCTCTGCTTGTCCGGTGTTGGAGTTTGTCGAAGAACCTCTTCCACGTTCTCTTTCCTTGTTTCTTCTCTAGGAGGCTCTGGGAGCGGCCATTCTCTCCGTTGCTGGTAGCACTCTTTGAAGACGCTCTCCTCTGACTTAACTTGTTTGGACTTTTGTCCCAAACAGCTAGGTCTGCTAATGAGGTTACCCATGATTCTTCAATCCACGGGTTAATTGGGTCCCTGTGCCATACATACAGGCGTCGCCTAAACTACCTACAACACAAGGAAGGTCAAAGTGAGAAGATACTCTTTAAACATCTATACCCTTTCAAGGAAATAGTAGCCTATTAGTTTCCAGTTTCCACTGCAGTCTTCAAAAGAGATTCATCCAGCTCTGACAAAGACCACTAAGCATAAATCTCAATTAGATTCCTTGCTGTCCTACAAAGGAGAGTCTTTTACCACTTTCACGCCAACAAACACCACCATCATTATTTATACGACAGAGATGGTAACACTTGACTGAGGCTCTGTCCTGACCAAGAGGGGCCAGATTACTGTTGGAAAACTACAACATGAACACAGAATTGCTAGTACTATCCATACAAATGCAACTGACAAGCCTGTTTATGAGGGCAGTCTACTCCAGGATACCCACAGCTCCTCCTGGCAGCCACAGCCACTGTCCTCTGCCAAGACTATCCGCGGGATGGCCCTGGGAAACCATTTAACTCCTGATCAAATATGACAGGCATGCAAATGCTGCTTCATTTCTTTTCCACAGAAGAATGAACAGTTTTTTTTTAGTGCACGTGTTCATGGTTTACTGGGAAACACAGACCACATGCCTGAGGAGTAGGACAGCGATGAACACGTAGACACACACCGAGTTTAATGTTCAGAAACCCTTTTAGAGATATTTTTTCAACTTAAGGTGAATGTCTGTGGTTGAAATTCATGCAGGCCTTTACCAGTGATCATCGTTGACTAAATTACTGTCCTGTGGCCTGTAGGACGAAGCCGGATTCAGTTTTACCCAGGTAAGTTCACGTTTAGTTTGAGCAAACTCTGAGTTTTCGGGCTCAAGAAGATGGGTTGGTTCTGAGTGGGTTTCGTCACCATGGTAACTTACGCTACACAGCTACCCTGCTCCGGAGCAGGTTTTATTCTGGGATAGAGATCGCAAACCCAAACTGGACCAATCAGCTGTGAGCAAAGTGACATATATCTGATGCAATGAAGCAACTCCCCCATATCTCTCACTCCAAATTAAAGCAGTTTACTGTCAAAGAATTTTAGAGACAAATTGCCCGACTTTTGCAGCTACTTATTTAATTATGTTTATATTATATTAATTGTAATTGTTTATAATTCATATAATATATTCAAATAATTATTATATGAAGTGGCAATTAATTTTAAGCTTTGTATTTAAAATAAATTAAATATATATACAGTATGTAAGTGTTTATTACTCTGCAACTCTGAGTTTGTTCATCTCGCTTCGTGCTGCAGGCCACAGATGAATAGGAAATGTACATATTTGTAAAATAAAAGACAACAGGCTGCTTTGTGTAGATTACACAATTAATAAAAAAAAACATGCAACAGTGCTATTTCAGTACTCATAGAATCTGCCTGAAGATTGCAGGTGGTAAGTGAATATGCAGCTGTTAAGTGAAGAAAGATTACTTTAGTGCTGTCAAATGATTAATCGCGATTAATCACATCCAAAATAAAAGTTTTTGTTTACATAATATATGAGTGTATACTGTGTATATTTATGTATATACAAATACAAACACATGCATGCATATATTTTAAGAAAATATGCTATGTTTATATATTAAATATATTTATATATAATATAATAATATATTGTGTGATATACCTGTCATATACATGTAAATATTTTCAAAATATATACTGTATGTGTGTGTGTTTATATATACATAATAAATTAACACAGTACACATACTGTACATATAGTATGTAAACAAAAACTTAGTTTGGATGCGATTAATCGCGATTAATCGTTTGACTGCACTACTTTCTTTATCTACATTGTCGCAGATGTACAGTATGTGCATATTGAAATCTCTGAGCAAAGTTTGCGTCTTTGTTGAGATCTCTTCTGAAACTACAGGAGACGTTAGATTACTGGGGTCTGCTTTGAAAGAGAAAAATCTAAGAAAAGTCTCAATTTGCTCTCTGTTTAATCTCATTCCTGTCTAAGAGAAACAATTAAACAGATCTAATTTCTGATTTTATTTTTCTTATAGATAAAAGCAGATAAAAAAAAACAAAAAATCAAAATGGTACAAAACCTGTTTTGTTTTAAACCTAACACATTTGCATACCTTTTATCTTAAAGAATGCAATGACACGTTAACCTTTGGGCTGATGGTTTTGTTTGTGCAGGAAATACAGAGCTCTGTTGAATTCAGCTAAGCATGCATGTTAATTGCACAGGTGATTCCAGGTCATTGTGGTTCACTGCATGCTAATGGCGAGTGCTGAGGGATCTAGCTCCAGACAGCAGACAGACTCAGTGTTTCTAGGCTCCGGAGCAGGTTTTATTCTGGGATAGAGATCGCAAACCCAAACTGGACCAATCAGCTGTGAGCAAATTGACATATATCTGATGCAATGAAGCAACTCCCCCATATCTCTCACTCCAAATTAAAGCAGTTTACTGTCAAAGAATTTTAGAGACAAATTGCCCGACTTTTGCAGCTACTTATTTAATTATGTTTATATTATATTAATTGTAATTGTTTATAATTCATATAATATATTCAAATAATTATTATATGAAGTGGCAATTAATTTTAAGCTTTGTATTTAAAATAAATTAAATATATATACAGTATGTAAGTGTTTATTACTCTGCAACTCTGAGTTTGTTCATCTCGCTTCGTGCTGCAGGCCACAGATGAATAGGAAATGTACATATTTGTAAAATAAAAGACAACAGGCTGCTTTGTGTAGATTACACAATTAATAAAAAAAAACATGCAACAGTGCTATTTCAGTACTCATAGAATCTGCCTGAAGATTGCAGGTGGTAAGTGAATATGCAGCTGTTAAGTGAAGAAAGATTACTTTAGTGCTGTCAAATGATTAATCGCGATTAATCACATCCAAAATAAAAGTTTTTGTTTACATAATATATGAGTGTATACTGTGTATATTTATGTATATACAAATACAAACACATGCATGCATATATTTTAAGAAAATATGCTATGTTTATATATTAAATATATTTATATATAATATAATAATATATTGTGTGATATACCTGTCATATACATGTAAATATTTTCAAAATATATACTGTATGTGTGTGTGTTTATATATACATAATAAATTAACACAGTACACATACTGTACATATAGTATGTAAACAAAAACTTAGTTTGGATGCGATTAATCGCGATTAATCGTTTGACTGCACTACTTTCTTTATCTACATTGTCGCAGATGTACAGTATGTGCATATTGAAATCTCTGAGCAAAGTTTGCGTCTTTGTTGAGATCTCTTCTGAAACTACAGGAGACGTTAGATTACTGGGGTCTGCTTTGAAAGAGAAAAATCTAAGAAAAGTCTCAATTTGCTCTCTGTTTAATCTCATTCCTGTCTAAGAGAAACAATTAAACAGATCTAATTTCTGATTTTATTTTTCTTATAGATAAAAGCAGATAAAAAAAAACAAAAAATCAAAATGGTACAAAACCTGGCATACTTACCCCAGTGCATAGAGGAGGACAAACGGCCAAACGAACAATTCCACAAGTTCCTCCGTCATCATTCAAACGGGAGAACAAAAAACCTGTCTTCTCTCAGCATCCTTTGAGAGGCCTTCCTTTCCAGACGTATAAACATGCGAAAACCTTCACATTCACTTGCTCAAACAGGACCTCACTTGCTCACAAATCCCGGTTTAAACACGCACACACACACACACACTTTATGCAAGATGACCCACGCTTTTCCGTCGCCCACAGCCACAAGCAAACAATGTCCCTCTCTCCCTCCGGCTGCCCCCTCCCGTCAGCGGTATTCTCTCTCTCTTGCCTTTGTTGTGCCCAGTCCCATAGAGGAGGAATTCCTTGCTGAGGCAACCCACGGGATGTTCAGCTGCTGGAAAAGTCCTGTATGCTGTGTTTTCCGAGCTCCAGGATAGCAGGTGTTCCCCATCCGGTGGTTTTGGTAGAGTTAAGGCAGGTCCGTAAGTCGGCAGCCTGTTGTGTGAACTCTTGTGCCAGACATTTAGACAGAGGAACAGTCCCTTCACCTCCCTCTTTCCCTCCCAGCGTTAGCCCCTCCCCCAGCTCCTCTTTTGGCTCACAAACTCTGCTTCAAATGAAAACGAGGAGGATAAAAAAGCTTTCTAAAGACCCCCAGGCTGCTCCCGAATATTCACATGTTAAGTGACAGCTGCCTCCAGCCCCTCGCTCTCGTTTTTCCCTCCCTCTCCGGGGCAGACCGAGGCGGGCTACAAAAGGAGCCAACCATCCCGCACACAAAGCCTCCATCACCATTCAAAGCCCCCGCCACAGCTACAAAGACGACTAATTACTGTAAGACATCTCTGATTACTTTCAAGTCACTTTCAGTCCCGAAATTGCCAAACAAACAACGAACAGTAGAGAAACCAATAGAGCGAAGGACTCGTCCGCGTCTGGCTGAGTTTCATGGGAGTTGCGTGATGCTGCGTCTCCACTTTTGGAGTCTTTTCTGCTCCGTTGCTGCTTGAGAATAGAAGCTTCTTTCGCCACTATGTCTGCAGGTGTCAGATCTCAAATAATCCCTCTGATTGGTTCCCATGGGGGACGAGAGGGAGAGTGAGGACAGGTGTGTATAGCAGGTGCAGTGAGGAGGACTCAGGTGTGTAACAAACACACAATTCCCCCATTCTTTTACCACACAAAAGACTCTACCCAACTGTTCCTCATTAGTTTCTATGGTTTTTGATCAATTACTCCACACCTGTTTCAGTTCTCCCTGATTACTTTTCTAGTATTTAAGTCCTGTGTTCTCCCCTGTTCCGTTGTCTGGTATTATATGTGCTTATGTGTTGGTGGATTATTATTAAATATTACTTTGTACTCTACTTCGTCGTGCACTTCTACAGCCACTGGGTGACAATATATGAGTAATATGGAATATTTTTGACCATGTAATTACAACCTTTTACTTCACAAATCTGACTTTTGTTCTTGCAATTCTAAGTTTGAAATTCTAAACTCAGAACCGTGAGATGTAA